TCCCGGGCCACTTCCCAGCAGTTCACTGTATCCACGTAAACTGCCTCCAGCAATGGTATTGTGCAGCAGTGAAGAGCCAACCAGTGGTTATTTAGTCCCCAGAGGAAACTAGTTTATAAAGGAGATGCAAATGTATTTAATTAAGTCAAGAAAAATACAATTCAATTAAGAGAACAACTTGTGTAATGAAGACTAGCAGTGACAGGAACTTGTTTTTCCATTTTGAGTTGTTGAAGATCAGTAGATGGAAATAGGTATTATTAGATCACAGCAGATCAGGCCCTCTTTTCAAAAATCTGTATGACATGCATCAACACCACCCCCGCCTCTTTCCCCTTTGCATTCACGGAATTTCCTTAGACTTCAGTTAAGAAAGTATTTTGGGCTCTTGCTGCAAATGCTGTATTAGTTAATTGCATGTCTGTTGGTATGTCTGTCTTACTGCTTTTGAAGGCTTGGCTAAGAAACAGCTTCCCTTTTGTGTTTCTCTCTATACAACACATTCTAGGGTTCATCCAGGAAGACTACCTCCGAGAGCTGCTGACGACAATGGGGGACAGGTTCACAGATGAAGAGGTAGATGAGCTGTACAGGGAGGCACCCATCGACAAAAAGGGGAATTTCAATTACACTGAATTCACGCGCATCCTGAAACATGGAGCAAAAGACAAAGATGACTGAGCAAGGCTCCTGATACCTGCAGATAGCTTGCTTTTTCCCCACCCCCCCATCGAGTAATTTTATTTCTTAGGATCTGTTTTTTTCTTTTTTTCATGTTGGGACCTTTTGCATACCTTTTTAACATTCCAGCTTTTCCCTCTGTGGACTCTGGGGCTGCTCAGGCACACCTCCACCTGTGTAATAAGACTGGAAATGGGCAGGGAGAGAGGACAGCTTACAGTGATAGAGGTTTAGGGACAAAGATCTGTGAGCATGGAGGCCCAGGTAAAACTATCAGTGCTACTCATCCTAGCTAGATTAATTTTACATTTTTAATGATAACTTTGAAATAAAACACTGCTATATTAAGTACATCATTAAAATTTTCATGCTAGAAGTGGACTGTTTAATCATATCTGTAAATATTTTTGCATCTGTATGCAGTCGTGTTGCTACCTATTTTTGCCTTAAAAATGAAGCATAAGTCACTTAAGCATAGTGATGTTTGTACTTAAGCACCTGAGTACTTCACTTACTACTGTGAGCATATATAATGAAGAAATTTCCATCCTTCAAATTTTAGTACATTGTAAATTAATGATATCTGTCCAAGACTTGCACATTAAAAATTTTAAATCTTATGGATGTAATTGAGGAGGTATTTTACCACCTTAGTGCCTCCATTTCTTGACATTGAGTACAATATTAATACTGCTTTTTAGTAACTTATATGGTAAATCCTAGTGTTTTCTTAAAAAAAGATACCGCATACAAGCAGGATGTTTGAGTGATGCCTCTTGCCAGATGGGCAGGACTGACAGAATTCATTGCATTTCATTGCAACCATTCTTTTCTTTCTTTCCTCTTCCCATCGTTTTTCAAAGCACCATGAGAATGGAGCTGGATGAAGACAGAAGGTGTGCTGTCTCTGTCTTTTTTGTTTTCTGTCTCACAATGTTATTCTTGCTTTCCAAATGAAACAATACACAATATATTTTTAAGAGCTTCTGCTGAGAGTGGTGCTTTGGGTGTGTGAGGAGGAGGCATTCCTTTATGTTCCATTTCTCATAATTATATCCTCTCATCCCTGTGGTATAGAATGCATAGCAGATTTGCTACAGTATTCTGACGCAACTTTGCCACAATCTGAATACTTGTGGTTCTGGTTTTTTGGTCTTGAGAGAAAGAGTGCTCAGAGTTGCCTCTGTCACTTCTAGGAATTACATTGTTGTCCTGTAATAATTTAGGTTACAAAATTAAGAAATGTCATTTGGCTGAGAGCGTTTTGCCGTTTCTTGGTCTGCTGCTATTGCAAATGGAACTTTTAATGAATTTCGTTAGAGGACAGTGATTATTTGTGTTAGAAATACACTGTTCTTTGATGAATAACCCACCAGGACTGTCATCTTTTGAGAAAGACAATGCCATAAAAACTGTTCACTGGTACATGTAAGAAAAAGCTCTGAAGCTTCTGTTCTACCTCAGTCCCAGCTGGCTCTGCAAAAGAATGAGAATGGTGCGGACACATGAAGGACCACAGGAAGCTAGCTAGTCTGCAAGAAAAGTATGGAAGATGCTGAAAAACGGGGGGGG